CGTCAGAATACTCCCCCAGATGCTAAGGTGATGTCATGGTGGGATTATGGTTACCAAATTACTGCCATGGGAAATAGAACAGTCATTGTTGACAACAACACCTGGAACAATACACACATAGCAACTGTTGGGCGCGCGATGTCTTCTTATGAGGATGAGGCATATGAGATAATGCGATCACTTGATGTGGATTATGTTTTAGTTGTCTTTGGCGGAGTTACTGGTTATTCTTCTGATGATATAAATAAGTAAGACCTTCTGATAAAATGCTTTATATTTGGATCTTCTTCTATTTTATATATACTACTTCATGCATGTAGATGCAGCAATTTCTTCATGCAAAATTCTTCTTAGAGTACTCTTGCAGACTCAACATTCAACAATGGTACAGGTGGCTTCATTTGAGTTTGGCATAAAATCTAAGTTGTGCAACCTGATCTCAGATGGAGCCACTTGTATCCAGATGTGAATCTAAGAGTTATTTAAGTTGCATGACTTAATCTCTATGTCTGTTATCATTCCAACATCAGGAGTTTATGTGACTTTTTCTGAATTTCCTCATTCTCTTGTCATGCTTTTTAGCCTCCTCAGAAACTTGTTATGACTGCTGGGCTTCACACTTTTTATACTCTAAATTTTTTGAGGCCTTCCATCACTAAGCTTGTACATATTCAGTTAGTTATATTAAAAAAGAAAATACGAATACCTCTTGCACTTTGTGGTATGGTTTTTGTAGCACTTGGTTCTTCAGGTGGTTGCTTCTTTAAAGCATGCACAATTATATGTCGGTTGTCTAATGGTTGACTTGTGCTGAAACTGAATAATGATTTTTAAACATATCAATTGCTTTCCTTCGTTTATAAATAGGGAAGAACTTGTATATTTAGCTTTATATACTTAAGTGCTTGTCTTCAATTAAATCAAGATATGTGTGCTTATGATAGATTATTTATTCTATAATAAATTCTTTTTATTAATGTTATTAACATATTAAAATTCACATGTTTTGATTTGATTGGATGAAAGTATATTAAGTATATAAGGGTAAGTAATATTAAGTATACAAGGGTAAGTATATAAGTCTTGCCCTATTATGCAATTATGCTTTATTACTTTTATTCATGATATCAAAATGTTGTTTCCCATTGAGTTCTTTTTTTGGTTGATTTCATTTGAGTTCATATTTTTTCTTCCTTGTTACATTGCTTCCGACAATTTATATATGATACTCATAATTCATAATTTTGTGTAGATTTCTGTGGATGGTGAGGATTGGTGGTGGTGTTTTCCCTGTAATAAAGGAACCTGATTACCTTGTCAATGGAGAGTATCGTGTAGATAAAGGGGCAGCTCCAAAGATGTTGAACTGTCTAATGTAAGTTTCTTAGCACTGCCACGTGATCTTGACTTTATATATCTATCAATTTCAGTGAGTCTGGATGCATGCCAGTCTAATCTATGCTGGAATGATTTTTCAAAAATAAATTCATATATAACCAAATTGGTCTCTTGGTCAGGTACAAGCTGTGTTATTATAGGTTTGGGGAGCTGACAACAGAATATGGCAAACCACCTGGGTAAGTGCTATACCTCCTTTATCACTGTTACTATTTTAATATCTGACCCTACATAAATTTCAGGTCCTTGATAATTGAGCATCGAGCATGGTTGTGTATAACTTAGTTGTAATGGACTACTAATTTCTGATAGGGATAAATGATGCAGGATAATTCATTATCAGATCTACACACGTTTTTCTGGCAAAAAAAAAAAAAAGATCTACACACGTTTTCTTGGGCACAAATGTATTGCATTGCGGGTAGTTGGGACTTGGGAGTTAGATTAAGTATTGTTGAGTGTAGTCTAGCTCAAGCCTTTAATATTGAACTATCTGAGATTTCATAACTTCGTGCATGTTGGAACAATGCCATATAATCCCTGCCCGTAAAATTGTTCTTTATAAGACCTTTTCAGCTCAAGCGTTCTTCATGGCGTGGCGTGCTCAAAGGTTGTGTAAATCCTGTTTTATATTTATACCTCTTGGATTGGCAGGTATGATCGTGCAAGAGGAGTGGAAATTGGGAACAAAGACATAAAGCTGGAGTATTTGGAAGAGGCATTTACTACACAGAATTGGATAGTTCGTATTTATAAAGTAAAACCACCTAAAAACAGGTGGTAAGTCTTGCCTACGATTCCAGGAAAAACAAAAAATCAAAAAAGTCAAATGTAGTTTTCTCTGCGGGAACTTGTAGCATTTTAGTTAGCCTGAGAGCCCAAAAACTGCTTGGCTGTTTATAGATCATAGACCTTTCTTGTTTTTTTGTTTGCATTTGTAGAATTCAGTCCAGGTAATGTTGCGGAATTCTAACTTCACATTTTCTTTCATGCTTGTGTAGAATTCAGTTCTCTTTTATTATTAATTTTCTGGAACCATTTCTTTAATTTCCCCCCCTGATAGCGTCTTTCATTTGCACAATTTAGTTTATTTGGTTCCACAAGGGCAATCTTAGGAAAAAATTTCAATGTACCTTGAGTAAATGAGGGGCTAAAACTAGTTTCTCTTGAAAACATAAATAAATATATGTTATACAGCTCAGCGACTTTGTCTGTATCAATGCATATTAAATAAATTCTTTCATAGGGATTTTACATGGTATCATTGAGCAGGATCCCCAGATGGAGTATGATCCCTTTAATTCATTCACTAACAAAAAAATTGGAGCCCTTGTCTCTCCAGTCCTGGATCGAGATTTTATTGAGAATCTAATCTAAATCGAAGTATCTATAAATTTATATACTAAAAAAAATATTGAGAATCTTCACAATAATTCATGAAAATGTCTAGGTAGTAGCTGAGGCCTTGGAGAGCTCGACAGCTGCCACAACCGTAAGGTCTTGCTATGTATTGGGATTTAGGGAGGAGTATAACATTTGTTTTTTATCTTTTTTTAAAAAGATATAGTATTTTTGTTTATCAAATATAGAAGATTTAGGTCGAACTATCAGTGTTATTGAGATGCGTGAATGAGTGTGTTCCTTGAAAGCACATTTCTTTTGAGCTTTGGCAATAGGATTAGGGGGCTCTTACACAAGATTTTGCCGAAAACACAATTTCTGCGTGTTGGTTATCTTAGCTCATAATGGGTTAGTCGGATTACGAGCTTAAACTGTGTTTAAGCCAATACATAAAGCTCGATCAGTGACTTAAACCTGCGTTAAAATATTCCAAATTGTATTTTATTAATTAAAAAGAATTTGTATATTCTCAATTGACTCCATGTTATATTAAGCGCCAAAGTCCCTAGTTCACAACTCCATAGGGAGCTGGCCTCCATATCCATGAAGCTTGACAATACTCCAGTGGTGAAATCATGAAGCAAATCTAATATACTATTAGATTAAGAGTTATTTTTACCCCTCAACTATATACAAAAGATTATTAAAAATTTTAAACTCATTAAAGATTAATTTTATCTCTCAACCTCATAATCTTGTTTCCTCCTTGCCTCTGTCAACAATTATCCATTAGTATGGCTTACATACATTTTTCTAATAATATAATATAATAGTGGGACTTATTTTATTATTATTATTATTATTATTTTCCTCACTCCTATCTCTCCTCTCCACCCTCTCCCCATCTCCTCTCTCTCTGAGCTCCGTCCCCTTGAACATGCTGAGGGACTTGAGAAGAGCGAGGGCGGCGACAACATAATGTATAAGCAAACCGAGTGTCACATATAGACAGCTGCACAAGGAGAATGGTTGGTTCTACTTCTCCGTACCCTAAAAGGCACTTCCTAGAAGCATGCGGATGGAATGAAGGGCTCAGCGTGCCGGATGAGGAAAAGCGTTGACGGCTCAACGTGCCTGGACGACACAACCACAGTGCGCTGACGTCAGCTGAGACGGCCACTCATGATGAGGGAATGCCTGCTGAAGCATGTGTGCAGAGCTGGGAATGACTCACACACTGCCTGAATCGCCGAGGGCGTGAGTGTTGTGCATTGGCTTATGTTCAGCTTCCTTAGCCCATCCTCTTGGTTCCGACCTTTCATGGATCCCCACGTCCTGTGCTTCACTTTGCTGCAGCAGCATGATGAGTGAGTGAAGCCTCGTTCACATCTTCCGCCGTCACGCCCTTCTTCTCCACTTCACCATTAGGTCCAGCACCAATACGTTCGGCGTCGGCTCCCTCAATGCCATTCTGCTCAACTTCCCCTTCAGCTTTGGCAGCACCTGCAACACCGCCTTTGCTACTGCCGTACTCGTTGGCCCTATGTTGTCGTTGCCCTTGCTCTTCTCAAGTCCTTGTGCTATGCATCCAGCAGCCCAGGTTTAGTCAGGAAGCTCGTAAATGCTTGCAAACAAGATAGGAACCTTGGTGTGGGAGTGATGGTGGTGGTTCCAAGAGTCGTGATTAAGGTGGTGTTCGATGATTTGGTGGAAGGGAGAAACAGAGGAGTCACGCGTGGAAGTGGCAAAGAGATCAAAAGTGGAAGGAGGATGAGCAGAGCATCTTTGAGACTTTGACGTTGAGAAAGTGTGGAGGAGAGAAGTGGATGAGAGAGAGGGTAGGTGAGGTGTAAAAAAAAAATAATAAAAAAATATAGAATGAGTCCTACTAGCAGAAAATTAACGTTAAGGGTACAAAGAGCAAAATTGAGATTAATGGATAAAATTGATCTCAATTGAGTTTAGAATTTTTAATAACTTTTTACGTATAGTTGAGAGAAAAAAATAATCCTTAATCTTATGTTATTTGAAGAATGATCTTACAGTAGCCCTCCAAATTGATGTCAAAACCTGATCCCTTGCTGCCCATGCATCGTGTTCAAATCATACCTACGTTTCCTATAATTGATCAATCGACCTCATCTTTTCAACCAAAAAAAAAAAATCCAACTAAATGTGTTGTTTTCTGATTCAAACCTGCATTCATCGCTCACAAGTAAAATGACCAATGCAAGTGGAATAATTAGTCCGACACACTTGGGTAATACAATGGCACATATTCTAACATAAATTAATGCCCATGAAACAGGGTCTTTGTGTATGTGTGTGTATATATCAGAATGTTACGGCCCAATCATCATAACGTGCAATGCTGATAAAATGGGTCTCTTAAAGAAATAAAATCATAATACATAGGGAACAATTCAACAAGAATGCCGCAGTGAGACAAGAACTAGACAATGTGAAACTCTTCAACCAGTAAGTGAACTCCTAACCCAAGTTGGAGCTACCATTATACAATTGTACACTTGAACTAAGAGTCCTTTATTTGCCAAGCACATTTGCCCCAGCAGCAGCCTCTGCAGCATCACTTTCTGGGTGGTCATTGGCACCTTGTTCTTCTGCGCCTGAAATAAATATCCTAACTGTATACTTTGCTTTTCTCTTTCCTTTCTGCTCAGGCTTACTCGCCCAGAACATTTAATCTGTAAGCTATTAACGTTTGTGATGTCAAAAAGTAGATTGCATACAAGAATGGATTCGAGTTGTCCTAATCACGGGCTGCTTTGTTCCTGCGTCCAGATATTGGGATAGGTAAGCCATTGAAAATAGGATTGGCAATGGCTGCACTTGAAAGAGCTTGCAAGTCTGATTTCAAATTCCATCTTCCAGTTGGCCAGACCGTGGCTGAGTCACTCTTTTCCTGATCTTTGAGGCTTGACGCACTTAACGATTTACGCACCCCAGAAAGCACATCAGTTATTATAGATTCTCCCAGACCCATTGGAATAGAATCTAACCATCCTGACTCAGTCTCAGGAAACAACACCGCCCGGCTGGCTGATTTTGGCTTCATGGCCTGACCCTTTCCTGTTGAAGAGAAGGCACTGCTTTCTCGTTTTAAAAGCATGTCAGTGGTATCAGAACCACTGTCAACTTCAGCCTTCTGACGTCTACGGACAGATTTCTCATCAGACTTGTCACCTCCCCCATCCTCAATCTCTACATGATACTGAGTCGCTCCTCGATCCCCAATCAGCAAATCATATTCAAAATTTCTTGACTTGTGATTTTGGTTTGATGGCATCTCTGAAACTGGAGAGGCTTTGGGGAGCCAATCATCTCTGAGCTCATCTCCACTAGCAGATCTATAAACAACCATTTCGGTTTCTACATTTTGGCTCCTTGGATTTGAAGATTTGAGTCCATAGTATGCTTGTAGATTAGCCATAGCCGAAGAAGTCTTCTCCCGGGTTGCTTTCAATCTTAAGGACTGGAAAGGCTCCTGTGTACTAGATCGAACTGAATGTGGACGTCTCTTTTCAGGACTGTAGTCTCTGCATTAAAATTTCAGTAAAATTTTGACCCAAAAGAACAGTAAAATGAATTTATACAGTTCAGCATAGATTTCAGTCCAGATAATTGATAATTAATGTTGTGCTATCTGAAACCAAAGAAATGCACAAGGCTATCTGATGAACTATTACATTACCATAAGGAAAATTCAGGAAGACAATCAATTTTTCCACATTCTAGAGTATGAAGAGCAAATAGTAAATCATAAATAAAATTTGTATAAGCGTATCAAATTACACCTAAAGTCAATCAAACTAAACTATGGCTAGAATCTTAGACTAATTTAATATTGTTCAGGAGTCCAGTAAGCAAAGAACGAGCTTGCAGAAAGGCATGCCAAAATTCCTTTCTAGTTCCTGATCTTCATTATACCACCAGGGAAGGCATGATGGCCCACCCTTTTTTCTACACTACACTAAGCAGTTTAGCAGCAATGGTGATATTAATTACAGTCCAAAGTCCAAAGAAAATCTGGCTGGTAAAATGCCAATATGATCCCTGAACTGTAAAAATATAAATTAATTTTAAAACCTCTTTTAAAAGAATTAAATATAAAGCAAGAAAGGATTTTCCTCAAAAATTCTTAAAGGAGTAGGTTATAATGGGTAGATAGTCTATTGCAGATCACAGGAAACAGTGAAGGAATCAAAGTATATTTGTACCCAGAATTGGCAGCTCCATTGGGAGGACTATGAGAGGGTGGATGTCTTCCTGGCAGTGGTATACGCAGAGTCTTCAGTGCAAACATTTGAAGATCTGTGGCTAGTCCATTCATCCTTTTGATATCAGCCACCTATATTATTACAAGGAGTTGCCATCAAAAGGAAGATAAATCATTATCAGATTATCAACCTAGAAAGCAACTGCAAACCTCACTCATTAGACACATCAAATTTATGATGACCGCCAACTGTTAAAATAATCACTGTAAATCTGATAATAAAGGAAAAGGCAAAGTACCTAACCTACCATAACATCAACATTTATAATTATAAGAAAGACATGCATGTGTGCGTATTCTCCTGAAGTAATGACATTTAGTAATCAAATATGCTAGTTAATGCATATGTCCATTTAAAAATACATAACTATTCTTGCCCCAAACAACACTAGGAAAGTATTCTGAATACTACTAAATATAAGATGCTGACATCAGTAAAAGTGCGCAAGTGATTTTCAGACTTTCCACATTAATGTATGATCATCTCCATCCTATATCGTACCTGAAAGGGAAGCATCACTCTATACTAACGAACGGGTAAATCAAGCATATACAATTAAATTTTGACTGTTATAAACCAAAAAAAAAAAATGTCAGAGACAGCATGTATTCAAGATGAACAGGATCTTTCCTATTTTCAGTTTCCCATCCATAACCGGTTGCATCCATTACCAAGTGTGTAATAGAAGTGGACAACAGCACATGAGGACAAATAATTAGTTGATTTCACTCAAATATTCAAGACCCATGTCGACCTTTTACTGTCTTTCTCTATCAGCTTCATCAAGTACTGGGAGCAAGTGGCAGAACTAGAGCGGTTAATCCATATCAGCTCATGAGAAAACAACCAAACCACATAACCTCAATCGTTCCACAAAGTTAGATTAAAAACAAGCATTTCATTTTTTTAATATTAATATTATAATATACACAGAATATTTCTCCTCGTTTTCAAGAAAGGCTTTGAACATTCACTAGTTGCAACCTTTGAAGGAAAAAAAATCACACCCTCTTCAACAGAGACTAAGAAAATTAATTACAAGATGCTTCAAGAATCGTCAAGCGAATACTCAAAAGAGAATATGTAAAACGATTCGTACCTCGACACCGTACTTGATGGCCACGCCGGCGAGAGTGTCCAATTTGGAAACCGGATGCTCAATCCAATTGCGTCCGTTACCTCCGCATCCACTTCCATTCTGCAAATAATTAGACGGAGACATGTTCGCCGATCGACCGTCACCTAACCCTTCTTTCGCAGAATCCCAACTGCCGTTACCTCTACCACAGACACCGACACCAAGATCTGCGATAAGAAACTGGGAATCTCACATGCACAATCGCGCAAATTAACCGGTGAGGGAAAGAGAAACGAATCGGGCACAACACCAGAGAGGAAAAATTGTTCGAATACAGAAATTAGGGCAGGGAAAGACTTAGTTTTGACAGAGAGAACTAAAATGAAGCAAAAAAGACGAATGAATGAATGAATGCAACGCCAGTGTGAGATTTTGGTGAAGGAAAAGAGAGTCTTCTTCTGTAAAGCTTCAACAAGAATTTGGCTTTTTTGTGCAACCATTCCCTTCGTCTTCTACTTCAATTATATGCATTGCGTTGGATTCTTCTTGCTCCTGCGCGTTTTCCCTGTAAAGAAAAAAAATATAACAATAAATCTTATAATATTTAAGGCACCAAATGTATTTTCAATTACGTCCAAAAAAAAAACCATTTGACGATAAAATTAAGTAAAATTCTATACATTCAGCATTAATTAATAATTTATCAAGAAATGATAAAGGAAAAATTAATCTTTTAGTCCTCCAACTTTTAAGTCACTTGTAACTCAGTCGTTTAACTATGACTCACTATGATTCAATCCCTCAACTATAACTCGCCTATGACTCAGTCCTTCAACTTTTGAATCACTTACAATTTAGTCCCTTAATTTTTGTTAATTTTTTTTTCATATTAGCTTATATCTCACATTAATGAATAAGAAGAGGGTATTTTAAAATAATATATGAGCATTTTTTATCCCTCTTATTTGATAAAAAATTTTAAAAAAAATTAAAAAATAAGGACCGAGTTATAGGTAAATCAAAAGTTGAGGGATTGAGTTGCAGCGAGTTATAGTTGAGGGACTGAGTCGCAGTGAGTCATAGTTGAGGGACTGAGTTACAAGTGAGTTAAAAGTTGAAGGACTAAAAGATTAATTTTTCCAACGATAAAAAAATCATTAAATTTTGTAAACAAATATTTCATCTTTATAATTTAACTATATGGATGTTTATGCGATGCAGTGGAGAATGGTCCATTAAATTAATATATTGATATTGAAATTGTGTGAATTATTTTTCTTAAAATTTAATATTCATACCATGCTCATATTAAAAAGTAATAGATATATAGACATGGGTCTAATTTTGCATAACTTTCATGTTAAACAATTATAGAAGTGATAATCGCGTGACTAAGCTCCACCATTCTTGTAAGTGGGATTCAATCCCCACATAGATTATTATTAAAAAAAAAAAGTGGTAAGAGTATAAATTTCATCTCCATTGAAATACCACTGACATGCCAACATGTTCTTGGTCTTGAACCTGAAAATGCGACTACATTGTGTGACAGAGCTTTCGTCCAAAAAGATACAACTTAACTCAATCTGAATTGAATTAGTCGAAGCCGATGATTTTCAGGAAGGAACAGTAATATTGACAATGATCTCTTAGATTCAGGCTATTCATGTTAATCTCCCTTGAGCATTTTTATCTTATTGTTTTCCAAAACAAAATTATATCTGTCAGTAGATGTAATACTCTCTTCAATCTCAAATATATAATACTTTTAACTGCTTCATAATGATTAAGAGAAATAATTAAATGTAGTTTGTATTATTAAAATGATAAATGATTATCATTGCTCCTCATTGTTGTCCTGCAATTAAAATTAATATATTTTACTAGTATTTACTTTTAACTTTTTTTTTCTTATATAATCTCTGCACAATGCGATTCATAGAAGTAATTATGAAAAATAAAAATTTGATGTTATTGACTTTTTTCAGAGTATTTTACATTTTAAACAACACCAATGGGTACAAAATTTTCTTATATTTAAAGATGGAGTGTTTCTGTTCAGCATTAATGAAAAAAATTAAAAAATTAGAAATTTAAATCATTGCATTAGAATTAAGGTGCAATGCTCGTAGTCTTCGGAGTTGTGAGTTTATATTATTTTACTTTACTTTATCATATTATATATTATAAATAGTCCTATATTAATTAATGAATATATAAAAATGGTGGAACTGGGGATAAAAGTCAAATGGATTGGGCAGACACATTGAGGAGTGTGAGGATTCTTTTTCCCAACGGGATTCGGCCACAATTATGAGCTCATGTGTCTTCTTTTGTTATTTCCCTTAATTTTTTATTTTTAAAAAAACAAAAAATATGTACTATTTTTTCCCTGCAGCTGTAAAGGGTACGGGTTGGGCCAGAGCTTAATTAAATTAATTAAAAATAGGGTTAACGCGGAGAGAGACCATGACTGGTCCACTGCACCGACATAGTGCCTCACTAAACCTGCGTCCCTCAAATTTATGGGCCCACCAACTCTAATCAGTTTACCGGGTAGGAAACAAACTTCACGGTGAATAAATTTGATTTAATTAATGTTCTCAGTTTAGTTAAAAATTTTTAATTTAATGATAGAGAAAGTCGCTGTTTATGGAAACTGGCCAGAAATGTGCTCACGTGCAAATCATACATTAACCCCCCAAAAGAAAGGTGCAAAACATCAAAATAAATTAACCGTGCTTTGTCTCTTTCCCATGTGCTAGCATTATGCTTGGTTTTGTTTTTTAACTACATAGTCACAAAAAATTGTATAAAGAGACAAAATATGCTTGAATTTTTTTTCGTGTAAAGTCACAAAAATTATATAAAGAGACAAAATTAAATCATGTTAAAATTCATAAAAATTTTTCTACGAATAAATTAAGGATCATGCTATGGACTTGAATCAGTTGAGATATCATTGCCAAGTGAAGAAGACCATGATACGTACATCCATTTTTTAGTTTTCATCAGTCTTGTCTTATTTTTTTTCATATGAGAAAATATAATTATCAACCCCTTAATCTGAGTGCATTAGTATAGGTTCTTGTTTGGCAAAAACAACAAAAGGGGTGTCGCGAGAAGTGTCAGAAACTCGGGGTCTCAAAACAATGAATGAAACTTGACTTATAATCAAACATGAAAAACTCGGGCTTCCTTACCACAATTCACCCAGATGCGATAATGCGAAGTAAAAAAAATTAATATAGATATAGGAAAGCAGAGATACATTAATTAAGTAATAGGTTATGCCGACCGTACAATGAAAAAAATAAAGACTAAAACTATATAATAAAAGAAAAAAATAAAATAAAGTAGCAGACGAGGAATTTGGAAATTTGAATGGTAATTTATTAATACTGATGATCATTCTTGTTCAGAGAAGGCTCCTCTATTTATAAATAATCCTGGCTTGGTGTCCAAGCTCCATGATCACCACTTTTCTTAAATTTAAAAAGTACTTCCTCTATTATGGTCGCATGTCATGGTTGGAATGTAGAGATAATGACTTAGACTTGGTCTTGACTTAGTGGCTAAGGCTTCATAAATATTTATTTTTTAATTATGTTAAAGATAATTAAGTTGAGTTGAGCCCAGGCCTCCAAATTGTGCAAACAATGCCCCCTGCATACAAATTAACTAGAGCTTTCATAGGCCAATTTTGTATGAATATTTTCACTGGTCTCACTTCCAAGCGTTGCGTGAGTAGTATATCTTGGAGGACTGACTTGATATCGTTCTAATTGATGGTTGATCTAGTGCTTTTCTTGACGGGCACTCTTGTGTTTGAGGATTAGGGGCCATGTGGTCTAGCTTAGGATTAAGTTTCTCAAGATTTGGGACCTTAAGAGCTGGTTTTGGAATTGGTTCTTCAAGTTTTTGGACCTTAAAGACTAGTTTTGTAAAATCTAATTGCTGTGGGGCTCAACTTTGTGACTTTTGTCCCTATGGAGAGAGCCCTTGGGGAGAGCTTCTATGAAGAAGGCCCTTGCAGAGCTCGCCTTTCTAATTGTGGCTCCTACGGCTCCGGCCCTTATGGTGCTGGCCCCTGTGGCACTGTCCCATGTGATGCTGGCCCTTGTGGCACTAGCCATTGTCTTCCCCAGTGATCAAAATGGCTTGCCATTAAGTTTGATGCGCCATTTATCCTTTGAAGGATGTTATAGTGATCTTTGTTGTTGATCTTCTAGTTAAAGGGCACGTTGAGAGATTGCCCCTCGAGTCCGTCTATTCTCTGAATGTGCAAGCTAATTAGAGCTTGCTCTTGCCATAGTCTAAACAGAATGACAGAGATGTTCCTTAGCTCATCCTTCAGGGTTTGCAATAGAAATCTTTGCCTCTCGTTAGCTTAGCATTCCAACTTCTCCCAAGCTTTGGCTTGCTTATGCTACTTTTTTAGATGTTGTCTCTTAAGTTCCTCTACCAGTGCTTGTGAGGTTATTGTTTGTTTATTGATACGATCATGTATCATGGTTAAAGACAAAGCTGCAACATTATTAGACACACTAATAAGATCTTTACCTGGGCGAGAGGATTTCATACTCTCATCCCGAGCTAGTAGGCAAGGCGTTCCTTAAGGAGGTATTGCTTGTCTCTTCACGATCATTATAGTATGAGAAGCTTGTACTTCATGTTCTGTGTGTGCAGCCACATTCTCTAAGTCATAAGACCTGGGTCCATTCTTTCCAACAACATATTGATCCTTATGTGTCACAAGCATTTTGTTCACACAAGTTCCACCAAGTGTGCCAAAAATTGTTCAACAAAAATAAAAGGAGTGTCGGGAGGCATGCTAAAAATAAGGGGTCTCAAAAGGATTGAAAAAACCTAACTTCTAATCAAACGCAGGGAACCTGGGCTCTTTTATCACAGTTCACCTGGATGCGATAATGCGAAGTAAAGAAAATTAATATAGATGTAGGAAAATAGAGATACATTAATTAAAGAAAGAGATGACAGGCTACGTCGACCGTACAATAAAAAAATAAAGACTAAAACTACATGATAAAATGAAAAATAAAATAAAGTAGCAACGTGAAGTCTAAGAATTTGATTGGTAATTTATTGATGTCGATGATCATTCTTGTTGAGAGAGAGCTCCTCTATTTATAGATAATCCTGACTTAGTGCCCAAGTTCTATGATTGCCACTTTTTTTAAATTTAGGAAGCATTTCCTCCATCGTGATCACTTATCATAGGTGGAATGTGGAGATAATGGCCTAGACCCAATCTTGACTTAGTAAATAAAATTTTATAAATATTTATTTTTTAATTATTTTAAAGCCGATTAAGTTGAATTGAACCCAAGCTTTCAAATTCATAATTTGGGTACAAATAATTCTTATAGTATTTTTTCCCATTACTTTAAGTCTCTTTAGTTTATCTTTTGTATAACATTAGCTTCTCTATTTTTTTAATATGCCCAAAATGATAATGAGATAACACTAACAATGTTAAATACATTGACATGTAACTAACATTATTAATTTGTGCAGATAGAAATTATGATTTAGC